AAGCGCTGGCTTCACCAGGCACCTGTTCTGCTTAAAATGGGGTAATGGACCACATGCAAATCTCTACCAAGGGTACCTGTGCATTAGAAGGGAGAGCAATCTGCTCTTGTCGAGAGAGTGCAGGGCAGACCCTGGGAGCTAGATTGGCCCTTTTCCTCAGGTCCAGGGAGCTGGTGATTAAAGTGGTGAGGTTTAGCCAGCTGAGGCGAGAGAGTACTGATAGCCAGGTGGGGCAGCTGGTCCAGTGGGTGCCCCTTCCACCTTGACCATGGGTCTCCAGTCCTGCACAGCTGGTTCTCAGTAGGGCAGGCCTAGGAGTCTAAAGACATCCTTCTCAATTGGGGTGGGAAGCACTCCACCAGACCCTATCTTGAGACCTTAGGTGTCCTGCACCACAGCAGCGCTGAGGCTGTGTTCCGACAAGCTCATGCCCTTGGTCTTGACCAGAGCCCGCTTGGAGCGGTTTCAGTGGGCAGAGCCAGTGAAGTAGAGCAGTGTGCACATAGAGCACAGTGATGATGTCCAGTCAGTGCCGTCGCCCTGGTCCTGGGAGTTGGCACACAATTAGGTACTTCTGCTGCTGACCATTCTCCTCCTGGCTCACCAAGTCATCAGTCAGGAACCTTCACTGCTGAAGGCTGTCAAGCAGATGACTGACGTTGGGCTGAGATCAGCCATCTGGGTGAGTGAGCAGCACGTGCAGATCACCACAGGTTGCTTTCCGCTGTTGGTTGGAACTGCATGGCACATGCAACAGCCCATACTTGAAATTCTGAGCTGATTCCTGGACTCTCTGCTCAATCTAGGCAGCCCCCTCCCTGGGCATGAGTTCCAGAAAGTCATCGAATTGCTTCAGGTCAATGGCCTACTGAGTACTCATGGAGGCCTGGTTGCAGATGTTTTCTAAGCTCCGGAAGCACAGCTGGATGGTACAACATCTGGGCAGTCTTGGTTCCAGCTCCCCAAATATTAGAGAAGAGTTCCAAGACAAGCACACTATTGCTGATGTGGTCCCGCTTCTGTAGATGTCCACTTTCTAGGATCTCTGTGATCTTCTTGGCCATCTGTTTCCCAATCCCAGGGATACTGCAAGCTTCCTATTAGGAGGTGATAGGCTTGTGGAAGCTCTTGAGGGCATTGATGACCTTGGCATAGCCATGGGCCCTCCACTTGTCTCCCTGAACACTGTAGGCTTTGGCCAGCACTTCCAGTTTTTCTGTGATATGGGTTTTGTGGTTGGTCACCTTTGATTTGAAGGCTGTGCACAAACCCACTTATCCAGACCCTCAGGGGCTGGACTAGGCTCATCATCTCCCTCAGGAGGGATGGGGTAGTATTCCTGGTCAGGGCTTCCAAATCAGCTGCATTAACTTGGGTCTCTTCCTCATCACTGGAAGAGATGGACTTGAGTGACCCCTGGACTTGAGTGTTTGGAGCATCTTCTGTTCTCTGGTGCTTCTTCTGTCTAGTGGGAATAGAGGGAGGAAAGAGGGCTATCCTGAGCAGATCCTTACAAGCTCCAGTAGAAGAGTCTTGGTCTATCTTACTGAGCTGTGATTGGTCCAGGTACCTGTTGGGGAGGAAGATGCTGAATCCTGCTGTGTCCACCAGCCTTCTCTCCTGTATGCACATGCTCAGCCAGGTTGACTTTACCCCTGAGCACTTGGGGATAGCTGGGGCAGTCTAAGGAGGCAAAGGGCTAGCTCATAGTCTATGCCATTATCCACCATAATGTGAGTGACCCCTGGGACCAGGGCAGAATGTATCTGGCTACCATGTTGGACAACCCGCTTCTCAAAGAGTTCTGCCTTGGCTCACCCAATGCCAGTGGGTACATGGGCCTGTAGGGAACTCAGCTACTCTCTTGCTTTTTCTCTGTACTCCCTCTACCCACCTCATTTCCTATGCAGCTGGAGGTGTCGAGAGGTGCCTCAGGCTTCTTGGGAATCTTCGTGAGTGCTTTTGATGATGGATTGGCATGAATTTTCTTCTGCTTGGGAAATGCCTTCAAGATGTCCCTGGGGTCCATTGAGGTATGGTTGGATCCTGGCCTTTCTGTTTGAGGGTTGATCAGGGCAGCTGTCATGTAGAAACCTAGAACTGGGGTTCCCCAACTTCTTTGACTATGGAGGTGGGATCTCTACTGAACAGGCCTTGGGGGCAGTAGCCCAGTTCCCAGAGTCTCCCCAAACCCATTTGAACTTCAGTGGCCTAGCCTAGCTCTACACTCACCAGCTTTTCAAAGTCAGAGTAATCGGGGGAAGAATGGAACTATGGAGGGAAATATGAAGGGGTACTAAATGGTATCATTTCTCAGAGGGATTGCTCTAAAGATTCAGTACCATGCTGCATCCCAAAGCTGTTTTCCTAAATGGAATGCCAAGGTAGGAAATGGAGCTATATCCTTAGGAAGGACTTGGTCTCCCAAGAATAATGGAGATTGAATGAGATTCTGCACCAACTCCACATAATCTTTCTCTACCCCCATCACTGACCTGCAGAGGTAAACCTGGGAGTGTGGGTGTGAGAATGAGAAGTTAGGAAGGCAGGGGGAACACCTTGCACCTGCCTTGGTTTCAGCCCTCTTGTCATGGCAATGCTTAGCGCCGCAGGTGCAGAAAGATCAGGTGTGCAGTGTCTTCAAGGATTTGGCGAGTCTCAGCCTCACATCTGGGGGTGAAGACTCCAGCAGGTATGGGGCATCCGCCATGGTTATAGCTGGAGCGTGCTCACTTTCCCAGCTGGAGGCTATAGGAGGGTTGACTTTATGGACCCTTCCCTGAGTCCAGAACCCCACCCCGCTCCCTGGATTCGGTCCGGGGTAGGGTCCACTTCAGGCCCAGCAAGCCACCCAGGGGTTAATTTGTAAAGCAATATACAAATTTAATGAAATCTCCATCAAAATCACATTGCCATTTTTATTTTATTTTATTTTTTACATATTTATTTATTTATTTATTTATTTATTGCTTAAAGTATTACAAAGAATATTACATATGTCTCCCCCCACCCCATCCCCATCCCTTGAAAATCCCCTGGCCTCCCCTACTCCCAATTGCATTTTTATTTTAAAGATTTTTTTATCTTTAATTTCTTTATTGGTTAAGCTATTACAAATGTGTCCTCATCCCCCAATTAACCCCCAACAACCCCTCCACTAAGATTTTTTTCTTTAATTTCTTTATTGGTTAAGCTATTACAAATGTGTCCTCATCCCCCAATTAACCCCCAACAACCCCTCCACTTCCACACTCATGCTTTCATCCCCCTGTTGTCTGTGTCCATTGGTTTGGCTTATATGTATGCATATAAGTCCTTTGGTTGAACTTTCCCCCTTTTACTGCTCCCCACCCCCCCTTACTTTTCCTCTGGGGATTGACAATCTGATCGATGTTTCTCTGTCTCTGTTTTTTAAATTAATTTTTGGAGAGCAGGGAAGGGAGAGGAAGAGATGTGGAGAGAGAGAAAGAGAAACTTCGATGTGAGAGCCAAACATCAATGGATTGTCTCCTGTCGCCACCTACCAATGATTGATCCTGCAACCCTTGCATTTGCCCTGACCAGGAATTGAACTGACAACTCTTTGGTGCATGGAATAACACCCAACCTATTGCGCCACACCTGCTAGGGTGACAAAAGCACTTTTTAAAGAAAAAAATCAGATTTCTATGGAATCAAAAGAGCCAAAGCAATCCTGAGAAAAAAAGAATGAGGTTGGAGCTATCTCACTTCCTGACTTACAACTATACTGCAAAGCAACAGCAATCAAAATTGCATGGTATTATCAGAAAAAATACACAGTCCAATGGAACAAGACTGAGATCCCAGAAACACATTTGCATTAAATATGTGAGAAAATAATTTTGACAAAAGACCTAAAAACATACAATGGGTAAAAGAAAGCTTCTTTAATAATTGTGCTGAGAAAATTGGAAAGGCATATGCAAAAGAGTGAAAATAGGTAGGTGTTTGTTTCCAGTTTATTCTTTTGCTGTAGGAAAAATGATTTTAAGTACATTCAGTGTATTATTATCATTCGGCACTTTAGAACCTTAAAAGTATCTTAATTTCATAGCATGCTCCAAAGAAGGACAAGTATTAATTTTACACTTGATTACTAGATTAAGTTATAGAATTGCTGCATTTGAACTTTAAAAAATTGGATTATGTCTGTTACTAAATTTTTAAATTGATGCTGTTATCATAGAATGGGGCATAAACTCTGAATTGGGTATTCTTCTCAGAAAGAGAAACCTGGGCAGTATACTTTCATATGATATTTGTAAGAATTCTTAATCTCAGTGGAAAATGTTTTATTATTAATCCAAGGAAATTCTCCTGTTAGAAAATTTTTACTTATAAATTTTAATGGTCATTAAAAGAATCTAAAACAAATAGTTTGCTATGGATTTAAAAGTAGGTCTTTTTATTTTCTAATTTTTAACTGATAAGTGAAAGCTTTTCTTCATAAGCACTTGATTTTCTCATATCTTCATTGTTATATTTCTGTTACATGATAATTCTATTTTCTGAAATTTGTTAGGATTATTTTTTAATTTTTAAAAACCATTGCTGCCTATTGAGATATTTTCTGAAGATTTTTGGATAAATATAGGTTTTTAATTGTGATACATTCTTCTCACGAGTTACACTGATTTTTTTTTTTTAATTTAAAAAAGAGGAAGTTACAAATATGGGACAAGAGACAATGTGTAGTGTTCACCTAGTTCTTCAAGTGGTTACATTTTGCATAATTGTAACACAATATTAACACTGAGAAATTGACATTGGCCCAGTCTGTTTATTTGATTGTATACTTTATTGGAAAAGGTGATCATAGAGTCATATTGTATTCGCTGGGGAGGCAACTTACTGCCTTAAGTTTTCTTTCTTTCTTTTTTGGTCTTTTAAGTAAGAGAGCAATCTTTTCTTGATGCTTTTTTTAAAATTTGCACCAGTTCTTTTCAAGTAGTATCTTTTCCAGAATGCAATAAGGGATATATTAGGCAAAACAAAGCAAAGTGAACAACAAAACACCAAAAAAACAAAAAAAGACAAAGAAACCCAGGGAACTCACTGCTTTATTTTTTTTTTTTTTAATTCAAAGAGCAGTAACTGGCTTGCTTTTTCTTTCTTTCTTTTTTAAATTAAATCTTTATTGTTCAGATTATTCCAGTTGTTCCTCTTTTTTCCCCCCATAGCTCTCCTCCACCCAGTTCCCACCCCACCCTCTGCCCGTACCTGTCCCACTGTCCTCATCCATAGGTGTACGATTTTTGTCCAGTCTCTTCCTGCACCCCTCCAGCCATTTCCCCCCAAGAATTGTCAGTCCACTCCCTTTCTATGCCCCTGGTTCCATTATATTCACCAGTTTATTCTGTTCATCAGATTTTTTATTCAATTGATTTTTAGATTCACTTGTTGATAGATGTGTATTTGAGGTACATAATTTGT